TATAATACTTCTTTCATTTCATTATGATTATATTTATTCATTCTCTCTTTTGATTTATTCTCTTTACATTTCTTCTATTTAATTTCATAGTTAATTTCAAAATTAATTTAATTTTAATTTAAATAACAAAATATAAATAACAAAATAAATAAAAATAGAATAAATTTAATTAAAATAATAACATTTTCTTTTTCTTATTTTTGTTTTATCTTTTTATAATTAAAACTTAAAAATAAATGAACTATTAATTAATTATCGTCGAACTTAATTTATTATTTATAAATAGATTTATAAAAAACAAAAAATAAAAACAAAAAAGAATAAATTAAATAATAGTACTATTTTATTATAATTAATTTGTCATTTTCTAAAATACAATAACATTTCTTTCTTTATTTTCTCTTTTCAAATGCTTTTCCACTCCTTGTTGATACTTTAATTATTTCTTGTTGAAATCCTTTCTAACTCTATTAATTTCTTTTCTTCTTGTTTCTCTTTGAAATAGTTCATTTCTTCTGATAAAAGATTGAGAATAACGGTTGTTGTTTATGATGGAAATAAATTGAAATACATCTACTCGAATGAGATGACTTACATCCATCATAAACAACCAAATGTAATGTGTAAGTTCCTATTAAATAAGAATTAAATTAATGATGATTTTAATTTTTATTGAAACAATCAATTATGATAAAGAAAAATAAATGAAATAAGAAATTGATAGTATCAAAGAAATAGAAGAGATTAATGTATTGATAATAAGAACAAACAATGAAATCATAAGAGATGATTTAAAATAATTTATAAATTTTATAAATTAAATGGTTATTTAATTGATAATGTTAATACAAATAATTTTCATTTTATTTTGTGTGTTAATTGATGGTCATCATCATTTTCTTTCTCATATTATCATTCATTTCATATTTTGTAATAAACCACATCTCAATTTTATTAATCATTAATCATTTCTTATTCTTATTGAAAACAAATATCACTTCATACATTATTTATTTATCATCACATTCATAACAATGTTTATATTTCTTATTTCTGACTACTTCATTTATTCTCTTTCTTTTCATTATCTTCTTTTCATATTTCATTAATCTTCATCATTTTTATTGTCTTTTTATTTCTTTTCTTTCTTTTTAACATTAAAATAACATGATATTCATTATCTTCTCATTTATTAATTAGTTGTTTGTGTTTTTACACAATTCATTAATCAATTCCACTTCAACATCAACAATAATAAAATACATCACTTCATACAAATTGGTTGTGTTTGAAGAAAAGGAAAAGAACTTAAAAAGAACAGAATGATTGAAGAAATAAAGAAGGAGTACAAAACACTGAAATGTAGTGTGATTGTTATTCCAAAAACAAGTAAAGAGGTAGTTGAGAGGATTAAGAAGAATGGAGAGAAGTATAAAATGATTTATATTATCTTTAGTGGATTAATGAATGGAATGATTTCATATTGGAAGAGTGAAAGTGGAGGAATTACTTATTTGATAAGTACAATGATTATCATAATGATGTATTTGAAAAATAAAGAGAGAGTTAATAAGATGATGGCAAGATTGAATATACCAGTGTGGATGATAACATACATTGGAAATATTGTGAGTGTTATTGTGATGGGAATGAGAGGAGAAGGAGGAATTTGGTATTTGTATGTGTCAAACAGCACATCAATTATATTTGGGATACACTCTATTATAACAAGTAATTATAATTGAAATTAATTGTTATTCATCTTGAAAATAAAATAGAAGAAGAAAATGGGAAACACCACTACAAAATATAAAGACAATAAAGGGAAATTAAATATCGAAAATATACTGAATGTATGTCGATATATTAATAAAGAAGAGGATTATATACAAATGATGATGGTGAACAAGAAATACAAAGAGATTCATAAGAAGATGAAATACAATCCATTCAGTATTAAATCAAAAAAGATTTTTCCTAAATTAACAAATCAATTTTTATATTCAAGAAATGACAATAAAATTAAAGGAGTTCATCATATTTTAGTTGAAGTTATTTCATATTCAACATATATGAAAGAAATAGATGATGATATTTATTGTTGTAATATTAAATATGAAGAAGAAGATAAAGAAGAATATGGAGAAAAGATAGAAAATGAATGTAATTGGATAGGCAGATATTATGATAGAGAAATTACAGAAATAAGAATTGAAGAACATATTAAACAATGTGTTGATGAATGTTTTAATGGATATACAAGTTTAACAAAAATAGAATTATCACCACATCTCTATAAACTTCCATTTAAATGTTTTAATAATTGTAAATCATTAATAAAAATTAATATTGAATATGTTACATATATTGGAGATAATTGTTTTTCAAATTGTACAAGATTAAAAGAAATACGAATGAATAAAGACATTGGATATGTTGGGGTAGTTTTTGGAATTGTAAAAGTTTAATAAATATCAGAAGTTCAGGGAAAATACATAATTATCAAAGCATTCCATATTGGGTTTGGATGATATTAAAAGAAGAAAATAATTCAGTTGAAGAAATTGAATATACAAATAAAGATAGAGAAAAGTAAGGATATGAAATACCAACAGAAGTCAAACGAATAGGAAATGGATGTTTTGAATGAAGTCAAATTAAAGAAATTACTATTCCTTCAAATGTAAGAGATATTGGAAATGATTGTTTTGGTTATTGTACAAATTTAACAAAGATTGAAATACATGAAGGAATTAAAGAAATTCCAAAAGGATATATGAAATAATGTGGACAAATACAAAGAATTGAACTTCCACAAAGTATAACTAAAATAAACACAGAAAGTTTTAAAGAATGTATAAAATTAAAAGAAATTAACATTAATCCAAATACAATAATAATTGAAAAAGGAGCATTTGAAAAATGTCCAAATATTAATTATGAATAATAAATTAATTTAATTCAATTTGATTGAAATTGATTATTTATTTGTTTATCAAATAATATCAATATTAAATAATCTAATTAATTTTAATATTTTTAAAAGATATCATAGAATGTTATCATAATATAATAACATTCATCTATTTTATTCTGTTTATCATTTGTTTTATTCTCTTATTCATTTTATTATCAAAATTGATATTTATTTATTCAAATTTCATGATATTGATAATAATATTCATTATAAATATTCTCTAACTCATTATTTATTATTGATTTGGTGTATAATTGATTGTAATAATGTTGAAATTCATTGTATTATTTGTATTATTATGATAATAAATTGATTATATGAAAAAGAGAGATGAATAATATTAATTTACAATATTATGATTATATTCTTTATAATTAGATAATTCAAATAGAAATGATAAAGAAGAAATGATAATTATCAATAGAATTATTAAGTGTATGATTTGATTAATCAATTTGTTATAATGATAAATGATTTATAATATAACATGATATTCAATTGTAATAACAATAATGAATACTATGATGAATAAGTCTGATTGTATTCATTTTATTCATTAGTATTAGTTGTATTATATGATGATACAATAATAAAATAATTTTTAATTGAATTATAACAAATAATAAGTAATTAACATTATTCATGTTTTTATCATTTTAACAATAATTCATTTTCTTAATCATCTTATTCTATGTTATTAAATATGTATTTTCATTAGTTTTGTTCAATCTAAATTGGTAAAATTGAAATTAATGGATAATTTATTACGAATTAATTTGATATATATTATGTATAGTTCTAATAACTTGTAATATTTCATTATT